AGGGACACAGCCCTGCTCCCATGACAGCTGCAAACAAACACAGCTGAGCAGCAGGACACAGCTGTTGAGTGCTGCAGTTCAAGGGAGTTTTCTAAGCCTGCAGACCCTCAGGGTTCCCCCTGCAGCACACAAAGCCCCTCTGTGGAATGATGAACTTTCAGAGTTCCAACTGACTCAAGTGGTCTTCACTCTTTGGAAGTGAGAACTGAAACAATGCTGTGGGTTCTTAGAAGCAGAATTATTCACTATGAAGCAAAGGCATGTGTGTGGATGTGTGCAATTGCACATTAGAGAAGGACCCATCAGCCTCATCAGCCAGTATTCTATTTTCACCTTTTCTGACTTCATTTTTGAAATACCATAATAATGAAAATGAGATAAAACCTCACTAATTCAGTATTGTAACACTTTGTGTTTTATTTGAGCCATATCACATATTTGCTATCTATTTTAGTTACTGTAATTCAATAGACAGAGCTGCTATTCTGCAGGTTTTTCTGTATTATTTTAAAGACCAAAAAAGAGGAAGATTCATACCTTGTCTGGCTTCACCAGCTGACTTTTTGATTCCTTTTCTGTTGCTGCATATACAGTAATACATATCAATGGCAGCCCAGAAGAAACAGCTGCCAGCTTTGCCACCTGGGACAGAGAGATGAAAACAGGGAGTCTTAATGCTGAAATTAAAATTTCCCATTTTGGATTGATCAAATATGGGATTAAACAAGTCACTTTCAAAGGCAGTTTTAAGCATTATGCCTTTTAGAAATATCTTGACTTATACAAAGATTTTCTCAAATTAAAATGGTAAAGAAAAGGTTGAAGAGCCCTGAACAGTTTTATGTCTAAAATACCAGGAAAAACCAGCAAAGCCACACTGATCTTCCACCACCTGTTAGGGTAAATTCAGCTGTAATTTACTCAGCATGCAGGAACCCCATTTCTGAAGAATTATTAAAGAAAAACTATTTTAACCTATCATAATTCAGACTGCTTATTTCCATACAGCATGCTACAGAACAAGACACCAATTGTCAGTAGACACCAGAAGGAAAAGTGAATTTAAAAATGATAGAGCATGAGAAAGTTGCATTGTTCACTTAAAAAAAATAATGTATTTTTAAAAGCCACAGTGGATTCTGTTCTCAATGTAAAGGAGAAAGCTACACAGGGAATGATCAAAGTGGTCCTGCTCCTGACTGACAGTAATTGCTTTACTTTTGGGTGCCTGCAGACAAACACATAAATGTTTAAAGATCCAAGGAAATAGCTGCACTGGCTAACATTTACACTGGCAGTTATCCCAAGAGGGTTTCACTCTTTTCTACTGAAATCACAAAGAACCAGAGTGAAAGAAAAAGCAACATCACCTTGACTACACTAAAGAGGCTTCACTGCACGGAGCTGTTCCTTATCTAATCACAAGGTGCACTAAAAAACCTCAGTTAGCTAAGTGGTTTTTAGTACTAATTTATTGAAATTATTTTATTAAAAGTTTCTTATGAGGCATTATGTATCAAACAACAAAAATCATATATTGTTTAGCTAGAGAAACCAGTAAGTATTTTACCTATGAAAACTTCTACAGAAGTTACTGACAATTAAGAAATGGCAGGATCATAATTTTCTATCAAACACTAGGAAAGAAGCCCAGAGAAAAACCCCTGCAACAGGCTGGAGCTGTGGAACAGCCTGGGATTGCATGTTCAGCCACCAGAATGACTCCAGAACATCAGCTGATAACTGAGAAATAAATAAAAATCTTCTTTTTGAGGAACTCAGGAAATTGCTGTGGGTGCAAAAGCCAGGTGACATCTGTGGAGATGAATTCTGCACACACACAGAGGAAAGGTCAGTGGGCAGTAATAAAACATCCCCTGTACCACCACTGCCAAGGTCCTGACCTGCAACACTGAGTACCTGAAGGTTTTTTCCCCAGAAATAAAAAACACACCCAAGACAAACAGACATGGCAATATTTTTGATGAGAAGCCTGAACAGCAATTATTTGCTGAAGAAATGCATGATAGCAGAAAATTGTTACAGCTACGCCTCTTAATAGTAGAACTGGAGTAAGACCAATCAAAATGTAACAATAAAACTGTCAAATGTACCTGGGTAATTTTGGCTTTAATTCTTTGCATTTCAAACAATCTGCTTCAAAGTCTTGGAATCTTATCAACAATCAAAAATACAGATTCTATTTAAAAAAAAAAAGTTAAAAAGCTACATCACTCCAAAGAATTCACTATCTTCCACTCAAAAGATGCAGAATACAAACAAAACCATAATAAAACCATATAGTTAATTTATGCTAATCTCCAAGACACTGTTTCCCACTGAAACTGCAAATTCTGTGTGCTTGCTTCAAGAATTGGAGCAGGAAACTTGCCCTGAAGGCAGGAACTGCCTCAAAACAAAGGGAATCAAAGGGTGGAGTAAATGCAAAAATCTGATGCATGGATTTATATAAAAAAATACATGAGTTCTGTATCACAAAATGGGAATCTACTAGCTAGGGTAAAATAAGATTAAAATTTAGCAGCTACCTCATATCAAATTTTCCATGAAAATATGTTAATTAAAAATAAAGAGTCGCAGGTATATGACTTTCTCCTACCACGCAGATGTCTTGAAGTGGATCACAAAACTGTCTCACATCCTTTTGCTTTATTTTCCCCACAAGTTACACAAGACATAATCACCAGAAGCTTGCAGGCCAAACCCAGTATCCTAATTCAGGTATGTCTTTAGAAATCTCTGCTGACAACCACCAAAAACTCCCCCACAAATGGAACAGATCCTTCCACTTCACCTCAACTGCCTGACACTCCACGGATTTGGTTTTAGTCTTGGTAAGTGACCCACAGAGCGTGAAATCTTAATAAGAATAAAATTCTTATTAATAAATATTTCATAGTAAATAGTAAAGAACACAATTGAAATTATGTCACTTCACTAAAGGTACTGAATCACTCAGATTTATGTACTAAGGCAACCAAATTACTTCAAGATCACCCAGGGAGACAGCAAAGCCAAAGACAGTTTCTTTTGCCTTAACAAACTAAAGCAAAATGGTTTATTTTAATTTCTGTCCTCATTGGTACCATCCTTTCCTTTCCAGATATATACACTTTTAAAACGCTTTAAAAAAGTAAATATGAAGATTCATGTAAGAGCAACCTATTCATCAATTTGATTGCCAACACTGGAAAACCTGTCTAAATATTTGTGAGAAGGCTTAGATCTTTACATGCACGTTGTTCTGTTTAAAGACACTGTATTATTCCTACAACTCGTGATATTTTAGATACTTGTAACCCTGTTAGCTCGTAACAGCATGATTTTAGCAGCCTTGTTTTGGTGATGTACAGCACCACTAGCACTTCATCGTGTCACTACCAAACTATCATCTTGATATTCCTCGAGCTGAAGGTGTTTCGGGGGCTGCCAGTACACGGAGAAGCACCAGAAGAGAAACCCCGCTTTTATTCCCTGTTGCACAATTTAACCAGCTCTCGAATCAGCTCCTTCCCTGCCAAGTCCCACAGCACCAGAGCTCTCCCTGCCCCACTCCGCCACCTGACCCCGGCTCCCGCGGCACCGAGGGCTCCTTCTCGCCAGCACCGGGGGACCCGCGGGCGGGCCGGGCGCTCCCGGGGTGCCGCACGGAGCCGCCCCGGCTGTCCCGAGCCGGCGGAGGAGCGGGAGCGGAGGCCGAGGGGCCGCGGGGCCGCGGGGCCGGGGCAGCGCCGGCCTGAGGGCGGGCGGACACTCACCTTGGCCGCCATGTTGGACAGCGCCGCGTACGGCGCGCGGGAAGGGCCGCGCCGGGCGGGGCCGAGGGGCCGGGGCGGGACCGTGCTCGGGCCGGGCGGGATCGCCCTCAGCCGGCATTGCCCGGGGCGGGCAGGGATGGATTGCACTCAGCCGGCATGGCCACAAAGCTGGCAGGGATAGATTTCCCTCAGCCGGCATAGCCCCAAAGCGGGCAGGGACGGATTCCCCTCAGCTGGCATCGCCCCAGAGCTGGCAGGGATGGATTTCCCTCAGCCGGCATCGCTCCGAAGGGGGCAGGGATGGATTCCCGTCAGCCGACGTGGCCTCAAAGCGGGCAGGGATAGAATCCCCTCAGCCGGGTCGGGCATCGTGTCAAAGCGGGCAGGGATGATCCCGCTCAGCCGGAGCGGGCATCGCCCTCAGCCGGTATGGCTCCTAAGGGGCAGGGATGATCCCCCTCAGCCGGCATGGCCCCAAAGCGGACAGGAATCCCTCTTAACCGCGGCGGGCTCGCCCTAAGTCGGGCAGAGATCAGTCTCAGCCGCCATCGCCCTAAGGTGGGCAAGGATCCTCCTCAGCCGGGATCGCGCCCCGATCGGGCGGCATCGCCCTCAGCCGGGATCCCCCTCAGATCGACAGCGATGTCCCTTAGCCCGCATCGCCCTCAGAACACACAAAATCCCCCATAAAACACAATCTAAGTGCAGATAATTCGTTTATTGAAGTCCAAATTTACAACGGAAGTTTACAACTTTTTTTTTTTTTTCTTTCCCCAAAACAAAAGCTTTGTTTGAATTTAGGAAGAATAAATGTTTGTTTTTGTTTTTGTTTTTTTTAATAATGTACAGACTATATCTCTTAAATAAGTTAATATCTTTGAAAAAAGAGCAATATGTTCCTTTTTTTAATGTTGCAGTGCAACTTACGACTTACACGTCTGTGCAATGTACCATGAGGTATATGCCCAGTGAGCAACACACAGTGAAGTTTTCCATTCATAAATTTTCATTGTAGACACACAAAAAGTTAACAAGTTATTAATCTGTGATAGAAAACGCAGCCGGTTACAGTAATTCACACAGAACTCATCTGGAAAGAGGGAAAAAAGAAACCTAATGTTCATTGCCTATAGAAACTATTGGATTATCTCTCAACATAGACAAGTATAAAATTAAAAATACTGTTGTGAAACTGAAGAAATACTGTGTTATCCAGGGGTTGAAACCTCGTTTGACCTGTTTTAGTCTAGAACCATTGGTTTTCTCTCTGCAGCATCCATGAGCTGAGGGATTTACTGTGGTACTGATGGAGCATCTGCTTGTCAAAGCATTAAGCAGGATGGGCACTATAGAAAAGTTGCAGAATGCTCAAAAATGTACAACTCCAGCATTTCCCTGGCATGGACAGGTGGTTTTCCACTGCCTCTCAGTTCATCTCCCAGCTGATTAGAAAAACAAGGCTGAAACATGGAAGATTACTCATATTTGAAGCTTGACACTTCAAATTTCTCAGGATGGCTCTAAAATACTTATTTTTCTTAATGACAGAAAACATATATTTATTTAAGAAAGAATCATCCACAATATAACTTTGTGATAAATAACAGTTCTGCCTCTAATACATATATACATACTGCTTGTAAACAAAAATGCCCACAGGTCATGGAGTCTCCATGATTTTTTTACAAGGCGCTATAGATTTTTATTTATTTTTTCGTTTTTTGTTATTGAAAACAGTCCTAGTGAAAGTTTGGTTTATAACCTCCTATTGCTACAGAAACAGTAAGAATGTTTATATTTACAAAGAAACAAAGACCATGGAGACCCCATAGCGTTATTTGCCAAAGATTTGAAGTTGGTGGGGTTTGCAAAATACACGTTGTCAGCACGTTGGACAGGTTGAACACCAGCAGTACGATACTCCAGTGCTTTGGTATTTCAACCCCTGAATATACAAAGACATTACTACAGCCTACTTCACAGTTTAATGCAAGTAAAGTGCAAGCCATAGTACAAGGGTGTCATACATTTCCATACATGTAAGCGTTATCTAAAAAAGGCTCTGTACAAGGTTTATTAGCTATTAGTAACCTAGATGGAAGTCACCTATGGCCCAGCAATTAATGGTCTTACAAGGATATTGTCTTTGTAATACAGTATGTGTCAAATGTAAAACGTTTATTAATACTAGTGCATTTCTCTTACATCCTAACCTGTTTTCTCATCAGATTTTCAAGCTGAAATCCTTGTTTCTCAGTAAAACAGAAGTCTTAACTGGTTACAGGGTCTTACTGGTGTTTTGGCCAGCGAACACAGTTTGTTAAGACGTATTTGTTTTGTGGTTGCTAGTGAAAAAATGCAATAGTTAATATGTATAATGTGACATCCTTAGTTAATCTGCAGCATTCGGACAGACACATTTACTGTTAGTAAAAAGATCTGTATTGATACCCTCACCAACGCCTGAGCATGAACAATATTCTAGAAATGTGAGGACAGAAGCTACAGGGCCTAGCTGGTCAAACAGCAGGTTGTCGACATATTTGATCATTTTTACAACATTGCTTTCTTTCAAATACTGCTCACACAGTGGCATTAATGCTTAAAGTCCCTAACTGTCACTTCTAACACATGTATGTTCTTGATAAAAATAAGGATATATCTGTCTGGCCTGCATTAAGAGTGAATATGGTTCTTTTCCTGAAGGCAGTTTCTGTCTGAATTATTTAAATATTTTTATTAAGAGGAGGTCCCAGTAGTATATCACCTGTCTTCAAACCTGATAAAAATTTAAACAATATTATTTATAAACCTCCTCCTGGATGTGCAAGAGTGGTTTAACCCGTAAAATATAGAAAATAAGCTTTAAAACATGTTTCTTTTTCTGTTAGTTATATCCAGAGTGAAGCGTTCCCTGCCCACATGTTAGAGAGTGGAACTGATCAGAAACATCACATTTCACTTGTGGGTAATGGGAGCAAAGAAAATAACTATAAACATCAAGTAAGGAAATACAACTTACTAGTTTTGGTTTAAATAGCCATGAAATTTCCATACAACAGCTGATAGGGCTCAGATGTGATTTTCAGAAGGGATTTTCAGATCTGTGCCCACTTAACACCCATCAAGAGCCTCAGCCTTGAGGCTCTGTGAATTCACATTACACAGTGTGAATTCATCTGAGAGAGGAGATGGAGGACCCTTCCCCACAGCATCCTGCCTGGGAAACCTACCCTGAGCCTCAGCTTTGGTGAAGGAAACATTCTGGAAGAAAAAGAGCTTTTTAATACTAAATAGAAATAAATAGCTAATATTGCTTCTTCAGTCTTTCCTGTTATTTCCCATTTTTGGTCCTAGTGGTAAATAAACATCATTTGGCAGCAGGGAAGGTGATGTGCTGTGGCCCAAGGCATGAGGCACATGGAAAAGCTACCATGGAAAACCTGTGCCCTTCTGGCTGCCCTACAGCACCATTCCCTACTGTTGCTACTGAGGAGAGAATAAAAACTGAGGAGAGAATAAAATCCTTTATGAGACCCAGCCAACACTTATTTCTCTAACATTAAATGTGGGGAACCCAGGCATGCCCTGAATGGGGTTCAGGCTGGGGCCCAGCAATACAGACAGGCCTGGGCTCTCTTCCTTGAGGAATCTCCCTAAGACTGGCTCTGGAGACAGAACCTCTGTGGAGAGACAAGACTTGGTTTACTGACAAATTGAGTGTTTAAAGTATAATTAAATTGTCTGTTGTCATTCTCTAGTTCAGGGGCAGCTGACAGGCATTGCAGAGGGGGCTGGGTTTGTTGTGCTGCATCGTGCCTTAGCCGAGGGTCCTTTTACACAAACCATCTTTGAAGGACTTTGTTCCCCACTGCATGAAGGGTTTGTACCAACTGTTGGTGAATTACCACAAAATAGCTCTGCTGTCTCTCCTCAAGGATCAACAGGCCCCAGCTATATCATCTTGGTCATAAATACTGCTATTTTTGGCAGAAAGAATGCTTTTATCACTTTGGAAGACAGTAAGACCACATGAGGAAAGAATATGGCAAATAAGATCTGTGATAATCTTGGCCTTTTGCATTTACATTACTTGAGACAAAGAAAAGAATGTTCTTTGTTCTCCTCAGATTTCTGTTGAGTTAAACAATTTCTACCAGATTCTTCATTTTTCTCCCAGAGGTCCTATTAACATTTAAAGTGAAATCTCCTAAAGGTCAGCAGCAGAATTGTACCATTTTCGAGGAGGCTGAGCCCTTCCCAGAGCCACTGTAAAGGAACTCCTTCAAAGGTACCTGTGCTGTCCTTCACAGGACCTTGGAGAAGGAGCTGTAACTGCTGAGAGGAGGGAGAGGAGGCCATGCACAATTCTCTGCTCCACTCATTTCTTTTTCCTTGGAAAAACCAGTGGAGCACCACATTCCCAGCTCAAAAGGCAGCAGCCAGAGCTGAATGTCCTGATAACAACCCCCTCCTCCTCCTCCTCCTCCTCTGGTTTTTGTTCGTGTCAATTAGAGCAAGCTCAGGGTAGTTTTCACTTAAAGTAATGAAACCAAGAGAAATGTCTTGGTTCTCTCAGGAAGTGATGCCGAGAGAGCTATTAAGACACTTTCAAAGATCTGACATGTCACTGAATACAGAACAGTATTAAAAAAGGAGGGGAATCAGTAGCTCAGGGGGAGCATTAAATCAGTTGTAATGAAAAATAGCCGGAACAAAAAGACTCAGCTTGTGGAGTGTCAGAGAAAGTGTATGGGCTGAGACATTTTACCTGAAGCAATTCTGAATGAAGACACTAACTTTAATAAGATCCAGTTAAATAAAGCACATCCAAACAACATTTCCATGTTGTTGTATATGTTAAAAACCAAGTTTTACCTGAGAATTCAGGCAGGAAAACTGGTAAATTAATAAATCTATTGTACAGGTGCTATTTATTTCCCTTGATGAACTCAGCAGCCAAACCTTGTTCTTTTCCAAAAATATGGCATCAAAACGACCACAATAATTCCAGCTGCTTTGTACTGTGTGTTCAAGTTCCTGTTGGTCCAGAGAATTGGATGTACTTTAATACATAAGCAGGACTTGGTGCATGAATTTTTAAATACATTATCTGTATTGCACTTTGCATTCCAGTGAGTTCAAAGGTGGTGAAAATCCAAATAATTGTGCTGTGGTGACTGTGCACATTCTCTCTGCCGTCCATTTAGATTGGAACCGACTTCCAGAAGGAAGAACCCATGGCTGAGAGGGAAGGGCTGCAGGGTGGGGTTCAGGAAATGTGCCAGGAGAATGACTAGTTCTTGTGAAATGGCTTCCAAATGCCAGCTGACATTTGTGAAAGAATAGAGTCTTTGTATTGCTTAATTTAGCAATTAGATTTTGCTTGCTCTAAGGCACAAGCAATGCCAGACAAATGGTTCAGACTTTTCTCCCAGTTAATCTTAAGCCCATTAGAGGGAATTTCTCCAGTGTATCTCATCTCATTTCATCTCATGAATCTCCTGGACAATTTATTTGGCCTATTCAGTGCAAATCACATTTGCTGAGAGCTGCTCTGCAAGAGCAGAATGCAGACTCACAATTCCAAGAATTTCAGAAAAGATGATCTCATGACACTGAAGGATTTTTAAAGATAAGCTGAGCAAAAGTATGAACTATCTACTATTTATCTCATCTATTCATATTTCAGAAATTGTATTTAAACTTAAAACAGAGATGATCTGTTTTCCCTACTATTTGTGTCATTTCTGAGAAATCTGTCTTCCCAATTATGTTTCTCATTTTCAGCTGTATCTTTAAGTAGTATTCTCTGCTTGCTTGTGACTTCACTGAATATGCTCAGTTATGTCTTGAGTGATAAAGCAGTGGCATTTGAAATCCTTTTGGAAAGCTATTTGGAAACAATATAGATATTTTCATTATGAAAGCACAAACCATCTTTTGGGTTTGAAACAATAGGCATATTTACATTTCTTTAGGAATTTAGACAGTTTAATCTATGTAACTATTTCTGTGACCATCCATCACTGCTTGCATGTATAACATGAATTAATTTCTAAATGGATTCTATAATTTATGCTGTTGCTCACTGGAAATAAAGGAATGAAATTAAGACGGGAAAGAAGGGGGGAGGCAAAGGAAAGGTGTTTTTAATTTTGTCTTTGTTTTTTGCTATGCAATGGTATTTTAAATTGTTAATAAGTGAATTTTCCCCAAGTCAGGTTTGTTTTGCCTACAATAACCACTAGCAGGTGATCTCCCTGTCTTTGTCTCAACCCAGGAGCTTTCCTGTAGCAATTTCCCCCTCCTGTCCAGCCAAGGTCAGCCCCCCTCTACTGTGGAGACAGAACTGAGCACCCAGGACACCTTCACCTGGTCTGGCTTTGGAACAATGAAATCTCTTCCTGGATACTAGGACCTCACTGAGATGACATTTTTTCCTCTATTATACTGAACTACATGAATTTTACAGTCCTTGATGGATGAGAGACAATTAGGTTTATCTTGTGAAAAAATGATCAGTGAAATCTGTTTCAGTGAAATGACATCAGCTGTGTTCACATCCCCTTCATTCTGCCTTTTAGAACTATTCTACAAGCAGAGTCAAAGCAAACTGTGAATGGCTTTGAAATCTATGTTAGTAGCATTCAGAGCAATCTTTTTTCCCCCCCAAGAATACAAGTATTTTCCCCAAAACCCGATTCTTCCAAACCATTCTCACCCAGGCAAGGAAGTGAAATCCACTGTGTGACTTGTGTGTCTTCCCAAACCAATCAATACCGATTGGTTTTTGAATGATGTTTAGAATAACTTCACCCACTTGCAAATGTACTGCTAGCAGTTAAAAATTATTGCCAGACATTACATAATTTTGAATTATTAACTCAGCTATAGATGTCAGTGTATCACAGAATGTAATTGATTAGTTCAGGAGGTTTTTTTAGCTTCATTCTCATGCTTTTTTTGAATTTTGTGACTCACAGTCATGTGTCACTTCAATTCACAGTGAAGAAACGATGAAAACCTGCAGTATGTACCTTACTCAGTGCAGATTTCTTTTTCTTTCACCATGAAATACTTCAAATCCTATTAAAACCTGTTTAAGTTGCAGCATTAGTGAACAACCAATATTGTTCTACTCGTATCTTACCTCTGTGCCAAACCTGCTTGCTCGTGCTCCTTCGTTTAAAGGCAGGCACAGCACGTTACAAACACAGTATTTAAATGGCATGTACAGAGTGCCCATAGGGCCAGACTGGGATCTATTTCTTAGATGTACAGTGTACATTTTAAGGCACACTATAGGGATTGAGTTTACATTTTGATAACTCTGTCCTTTTATTTGCAAAGATGGTCACTACCTGGAAATGTTGCAAAAATAAAAGTTCATCTCTAAGAGTGGCCAATGTATTCATGTCTTCATTTTTTATATTTTTTCTCAAGAAAAAATGTGTGAAAATGTGAACTTTAGGGAATTTTAAAAGGAAATGTCAACTACCATGTTACATTTTATATACATAGATATGATTTTATATATATCTAAATATATAAAATGATTGCAGGAGCTCATACTATAAGCTGAGTTTTAGTACAGTACTTTAAATATACTGGTATTTATTTTCAGTTACACTTCTGCACCGCTTCTTCCTAATGCAGAGCTCGATACGGACATTGGTTGATAACAGCAAACAAAAAAATTCATAAAGAATATTATTGTCTTATCATGCAATGTAGTAGGCATCCTGTGGCACTATTCTCTTACCCAAGTATTTACAGTACTGCTGAGTACCTTAAATTCCCCAGGGTTTGTCTGCCTGCCTCTGTCAGGCACCCAGCAGTGGCCAGGCTGAGCTGCTGTCACACGTGAGTCTCGATGAAGGAGTGTGTGTGTGTCAGCATTGGGGCCGAGCTTGCCAGTTCAGAGGCTCCGTTTTGAGACTTCCCAGCAGCACTGTACTCACAAATGTCCAGGAAAAACTCATAGTTCTTTAGTTTCCAATCTTTGAACTTCTTGGATGTTAAGTTGGGATCGTCCAGAAGGCTGTTGATTACTGTGAGGTCCCCTTCCTTTGCCTAGCAAATTCCAGAAAAACAGAGGACAGGTCAAAATGAAATTCTGTATTCCAGCACTTTATTTCTTCCTTAACTTTAATGCCAAGCACCAGGAAAACTACTATGGAAGCTTTAATGTTTACCTAAATTCAGGAACTATTACAGCATAAACTGTTTGACAGCTCAGTCTGTGCCACATGCTACAATTTGCCCACACAGAGTGCCAAATAATCTCCTTTTTTCCCTTAAAATGGAACATACTTGCTTTGAAGGATTTTTAGTTTCTTTGAAGCTTCATTTTAAAGCTACAAAAAAAGCATTAACAATAGAAATGTAAAAGATTAAAGACATAGAGTGACATTAACGACAAGGGGTGATGCTTCCCACTGCCAGAGGGCAGGGTTAGCTGGGATATTGGGAAGGAATTCCTGGCTCTGAGAGTGGGCAGGCCCTGGCACAGGGGGCCCAGAGAAGCTGTGGCTGCCCCTGGATCCCTGGATGTGTCCAAGGCCAGGCTGGACAGGGCTTGGAGCAACCTGAGATAGTGAAAGGTGTCCCTGCCCATGGCAGGGGATGGAATTGGATGGGCTTTAAGGTCCCTTCAACCCATCAGCATTCTCTGATGGACAATTAGACTTTTCCAGTTTATATTCCTTGCATGCAGATCAGGGGTGAAGCCACACACAATCAGGGATAAAGCCACACAAAATCAGGATAAAGCCTTACTTTTAAAGTGCTCTTGAGGACTCGGATGTGGTGCAGCTTTTCGTTGATCACTGGGTCGTTGCATCGCTTCACGAAGGACTTGCGGAACTCCTGCTTGGTGGAGGGACGCTGCTCTCCGAAAGCTGACAGACTGGCTTCTTCCAGAGTTCTGTAGAGCTCTTGCAGACCATCTGTGATATCTTCAATTTCTTTTACGTTTTCTGAAAGGAAACAAAGAACCATAACAACAAACCTGATCATTCAGATGGAGTCTCTAAAATCAGCAATACTGCTATTCAGTACTATCTTAACCTCTTACTCAGTTCTGCAGTGTTAGTTTTGGTGAGACAAGAACATCATCCCAAAGCTCAATTTTTAGCACTACATCTTGGCATTTCAAGTACAAATTCCTGTGTTTGCCAACATCCAGCAGTTCAACCACAAAATCCTTGCTGAGAACAGTGGCAATGCTGCTCTGGATTTTGAAGTGGAGCAGAACATCTCCCAGAGCTTACCTTCTGCACAGAAACTATTGTGCCTTCTAAGAGGAACCTTCTCATCCAGGCTGTCGTCGGTGTCCTCAATGGATTTCACGCGTCCCTTCCCGCGCACGTCTCTGTTCCGGGGCAGGCTTTGGCTGCGCGGTTTCTGGGGCCGCCCGTGGGAGCCGTGTCCCCTGGGACACTCCACCAGAGGAAAAGGCCCATCCTGCTCAAAGTTGTGGCGCCTCTGCACGGGCAGCGTGGCTTGTCTCCGTCTGTCCGGTGACATTCCGGGCCGGCCGCTCG